TTGGGCGGAATTAAACTCTGCCATGAATGGTCACACTTTGATGGCTGTCACTATCTGACGTTCCTGCAATTTCATTGTCGGGGGAAGTGAAAAACTACATGGTTCTGTCAGGCGTGTGTTAAGTTTGTAGCACTGCGACCTTGTCAGGCTATTTACAAGGCTGACTTTTTCCTGAAATGTAGATTATTTTCAAATTGGATTAAAATCTAATACATTGCTTTATTTTTAATAAGTCTCCCAGAGAAATTTCTAGGTGTGAACAAACTAGGTTAAAATATTTAGAGAATATCTCCCAATCAGACGATGGTTAGTTTATCTGTAAATGTATAAAAAAAAAAATATTTTGTTTCAACATTTTAACCCTCACCATGAAGATAAAGTATGCTGTTGAGCGGTTCAAAATGTGCATGGACATCCTAAATTTAAAAAGTCTCGGTATGGACTGATTGTATGCTGAATAAGACCTAAATTTGTCCACCAATCTAGTGAATTCTGTCCAATGTCTTTCATCTTGTGTTCGCCATGGGGTAGCTTACCTAGTTATTAACATATACAATTGAGCTGTGGTAATTTGAACACATTGGCACCATCCAGCATTCGGATTGGTTAATTAGCAAATTGACCTATCAGTCAAAGAACACAATTTCAGGTCAACTAATGTATTGGGGAAAAAACATGGCGGATATTGCATCGCATCACGTCTACATGTGGCCGTAAACATTCGCTTACAATGAAACTAATGACAATTCAACAAATTTATTTTTTGTACATTAATATAATCACTACTTACTGTAGTAATACTGGTAATCAACAATTGCAAAACTTCAATAAACAATGCAATTTTTAAATACGTATTAAAATGAAACAAACATTTTAAAAAACGAAAGGGCAGTGAAGAGTCTTTACGCGGGCAAAACAAAGTTGATCTTAAATAATGCAGGGTACTGTGATCAGTAAACAAAGTTGACCTCTTGTGCGCAGAACGATCAGGCCTGGTTTGAATTTCATTCTGAGATGTGATCTTCATCACTGGAAAAGCTGGATAAAATTTTAGATGACAATTAAGTGAGCAATCTCTGCCGAGGCCGAAATTTTGGAGGTCAACAAACAACGAAAACCCGCCAAACAGGAGACTGAGTTTTTTCGGGCTAGTGTCTAGTGTGTGCATTTTTGACAACATAATATCATGGACATTCTTCAAATTTGCACGCTGATATTTTTGTTTACTGTACACTAGAAAAGCAACCTAACACCTACACTTCTGCTCTTTTGTAGTTTAATATGTTCTGACGCCATGGCTAGAGGCATGGACATTGTAGAAGCAAATGCCGTAATTTGTTATGACGTACCACCATTTATTAAGACCTATATTCATCGTATTGGTAGAACCGCAAGAGGTGACAGACAAGGCACTGCGTATACTCTGGTTTTGGACAAACAGGTTAGTCTGACCTCATCATTACTTTTGTGGCAGTGACCCAGGGAATCATAAAGCTATGACATTGAACTCAATTGTAGCCATGTGCAATGACATCAAAGAAAAGACCAGTTCTATGCAAGTCATCAGAGACCACTCCATCATTTCTATATACCAATAGTTGGTGACCATAGTTCAGATGTCAGCATTGAAGGTAGTAATAATACAAGACTTATTTTTATTATCATTTTACAGAAAAAGAAATTCACTGCAATGCTCAGAGAAGCTGGCAAAGAGAACTGTGAGTGGATGAAAGTAAAACGCAAATTATTAGAAACGCTAACAGAAAGCTATGAAAATGCTTTGCAACAGTTGCCAGCTATCTTAGAGGTAAGCTGTGGTTTTTCTTACTTGTGTAAATTGTGTGTGACTTTTGTATCAAGTATTCTTGTAATATTTATACGTTATAGCTGAGATATTGTCTACCTCGAACTTGATGTTGGTAGAGTTCATGCCATTACATTAGCTGCACAAGTTTTTGTGTTTACCTACCTGAGGGTTGTATTTATAAGGCCAGAGAAAATATGATATTTTTTTGTCCGAATTTTGGAAAAAATGCATCATAACAATGTGTATGTGTCATATAACCAATTTAATTAACAACGCATAGAAGATAATTAAAAATTAAAACCATGGTGTGCATAATATACATGTATGAGGGTAGGGGTTGATCCTTTTTTTTGGTGTTAAGCCCAAGATAGAATTTGATCTTTAATTTGTAGGTCCCACACAACAACACTTAACCATTTATTATGACCATAGAGACACCTCATTTATGTAAGCATATGCAAATACAGTACTGATAATTGGATATTTTGGGTTTAATATTTTTGAAACTGCACTTGACAAACCATATATATATATAGCACAGACTAGTCTCCTACAAAAAGGGATTTTGAATGTTGAATGTTTTGAAATTTTGACACCTGCATACTATATACAGTCTATTCTGTGTGCAAGGAATTCTTAGACCATGCATGCAACCATATTGGTTTGGGTAAAGCTTCTATTTCAAATCCTAATTACCATCTCAATTAGAGGTCAACTGTAACTCTAGATAAGACTAAGTTAACAGAGTCTGTTCGTCATTTTCTCTTATTCAAGGGTATGCATGTCAGGGACAGAGGCACAGCGCCCTCATGCCATGGCCATGCGCCCCCTTTCCCTGGGGAGCAGATCCTCTGGCAACCATAAAATTCTGATTGACCAAGGATCACACATGGCCACAGTCTTCAACTGTGACCTGTCTGGTAGTAATTTTGGCACCAAGGAAGCCATAGAATGCTCCATTTTAACTTAAAATTATCAAAAACTCCACACCCTGGTAGGGAGAACCCTATCTCCCCCCCCCCCCCTGGTGGCGAGGCTGAATTGCATGCAGTGCTCTCTGTTGCAGTTTTTTTTTTGTAGAAAAACTCCTTCATGAACTCCAAAGTATGATGCACTTACCTTAAACTGTAAAAATCTTAGTCTGATGCCTGTTATAATAATTATGTACATATGTACATTTAAATATACCATAATTTCTCCATGTCCATGGTCAAACTGACTTAAATTTCAATGATCCAGTGTTAGTTTTGAGTGCAGTTTTATTAGAGTAATTATGATATTCACATTTCATTGTCCTGCATTCATGTGTCCATAGTAATAGCTGGGTTATTTAGTTGTCTATTTAATACAACCACAACAGCCATATAAGGCCAATAACAGTGGTGTGTTAGTAAACACATTTGTTAAATACAATACAACAGTAAACAAAATTACAATT